TGTAAATGCAAACAAAAGCAATGAAATACTTGTCTAAGTCTAAGCAGACGTATTGCATTTCTACTTGTCTTCCTTTTTGCGTTGAGATACTCTGGGAACAGATTTCACTTCAAACAGCAGAGGCTCCTAAATGGAGCTGATCCAATTTGTCTGTGCCTTTCTTTCCTTCCAGAGCACCCCCCAAAACCCTACCAACAAAAGCCTGCTTGTCTGCTAGGAATTTTCCACATTCCTTGCAACGACAGACATTTTTCTCTTGTACAAAGGGCCCTTCGGCAAATTCCCCCTAATCGCTGGGTTTAGTTGGACCCTGATAGGTGCAATTCATAACTGGTGAGGCATCGGCTAGGACAGGAGGCAATCCTACTTTGCTTTATTTACATCACTTCATAAGGCATCAAAACATATAGCTTAATCCATGATAATGATGATTTTTCAGGAGGGAAAGCTATGGTGTAATTTTTGTAATTTTAAGGTTGGTCTTGAACCTTTCTGTGCCTTCTGGGGTTAAGCTGTAAGTGAGACTCCACATAACCTTTTAAATACAGCACTATTATTATTATTATTAGAGGAAGACCTACATGTTGAGACGAGTTGGAGTGCCTGATCGAGAGACACAATTACAAGCTGTAGTAGACTCTCGCACCGAAGAGACAAATGCAAGAGACTGTCAACATTTCATATTCTTTTATTCTTTCTAGAACTGAGAGCCTGAATCTGCTTTACCATTCATGTGCGGAAGTCTCACAGGGTCAAGTTCAAGGCCTAGCAAAGTTTTTTTTTAATAAGAAACAAAGAACAAGAGAGGGAGAGAACGGGAGAAAGTGTGAAATAGAGATAAGGGAGTGTGTGTACGGATAGAAACTGTAGGTTTGGCCAAAGGGAAAGGTTTTTTTCTTTTTCCTGACTGCAATTTTTCTAAGATGTGAAATGGTTAAAAGGTCACCTGTTGATCAAGACAGTTGATATATTTACAAAATATGATGCCAATTCATTCTATAATTGTTGAAATCAAATTGTCAGATTCTTGGAAATGGTGGAAAGTAACAAAAAGCCCCTTTTCTTTGTAAAAAAACACCAAAATGGCTTATCTTGCGATGTTAAATAAATCAAAGAGTCTTTTGTGTATATGGTTTTGTTTTAAAAACGTAATGAATCATACTTATCAACTTTAAAAACGCGTAATTGCAGAGGAACACTGTGTCCTCTGCAATTGATTGACTCATTTCCCTAAAAGTTCCTCAAACCGAGGCTTCCCTTCAGCAGTTTGTGAATTCCAAAGCGTTTTACAAAGCAAGTCCAATGTTTACCTACCTAAGTGCTCTATTAGGCAAAGTTACATTTTAACAATTTAAATGGTGAGAATTCCATGTTTTACCAGCCTCATAATCTACACGGCATTTCATCCGAAGCGTATCTCACGCCGGACTCTTCATCCGTGCAGACTTGTGTTTGTGGAGGGAAGGTTGGTCAAATGATCCATTTAGCTTCAAAGGAGGTCCAAAGGTTAGCAGGACCAGTAACGGTTAACCAGAGCAAACAGCAGCACCCTTTCTTATGGGATAATTAACACTGCTAGGACAGCAAAGAATGAACACAGTACACTCTATACACATGATGTACAAGCAATCACATGTTAGAACACAGAAGTAGCGCACAAACATAACATACACATTTGAAAAACAGAACCCAAAGCAATGATGAGGCTGGCGTAGCACATGTAACTTCATATATTTGGGACTCAAAGCTTGCCATTAAAGTTGAGATCTGATCAGATTTTTTTATTCCAACTTCGTAGCCCTATCGCTGTTTCACGTGTTTAATTCAATCGGTAGAGCTTCTGGTCAATGTGCTGGATCAGACAGAAAAGTCTCTTGAGCAGTCAACAATTTAAGGTGCTTGTGAAAATATCTATACTACAATTTACTGGAAGACGTGACTGAAGGATTTCTATGTCTAGTTGGAGAACCAGTAAAGTTTCTGACCCCAGAAAGGGATGCGGACAGCTACTGTGGTGCTGGAGAGAGAGCAGGCTGAATGGCCCTCCTCTCCACAAGCTGGGGCTTTTGTGAATGGTGGCCTGTACACGGTGCTCAGCAGAGCGGAGGCATTTCTCTCTTTGATCAGAGGAAGACTTCTGGAAAGAGGCTGCTGGGTGGTTCTCGAGCTAAGAGCCTGGAGCGCCGCATTCTTGGAGTAGCGGAGGGATTGGGTTTCAGCTGAGTGGGGTCCCCACCATAGGGATCCTAGTTTTAGTCATACTTACCTAGCGTACCTTGGAATGGTTGAAGCTGCCCTCATGCAATGCCTAAACCCCCCCCCCCAAAACACTTGTAGGGCAGGGCAGCTTGGTCGACAAGTGATTCATAGTGTTAGGCCCTGGCAACATCAAAGAGCTGCCACAGCCTGTGAAAGACAATGCTGCCATTTCTCCTTTGTGGGATCGAGGGGGCTGGTTTGGGGCAGTGGGGGCGAGAGGCGCTACTCGCAGGAGTGGCTTCTGTACTCGAAGGGATTGGATTTCACTGATGGTTATTTTGGAATACTTTGTCCCAGATGCTCTGCAACAGCACTTGTACATTTTACTGTAAGACTGTAAACAAAGAGGACCCTTCATCCTTTGTGTTTATGGTCAGTAACTACGTTAAGTTGTGTACCTGCTACTTTAATTGATATGTAAGTATTGATATAAATCCTTAAATACTTATTTGTTAGGATGTGCTCTCTGGGCTGCAGTCAGATTGTAATTAACATTTATTTTTTGTTATATCACATAATTCTTCAAGCAAGAATTGTTTAGTTTTTTCCAACCAGCAATGCTTTATTGACCATGGTATTCATCATTTAGAGAATTGTTGTATTTATTTATTTTTTAAATGACCAGAGAAAATACATAATTACACACAACGACAGACGTTTCAAGGCTGGCGTTACCATATTAACAGGGGTCCCTCCAAATAAAATGCGTTCAATGGTTACCCACCTGTCTCTGGTTTAGAAACATGCCCACGTCATGCTAATCATATGCAGTTCGGGCGGAAAATCATGCAGTTTTTTCATGCGAATAAATGTGGTATTTTCGCCTATTTAGAAGACGTTTTTTATACTTTTACTTTGAATATGTTTATATGAACATTAATACTAGGACCTTTTGTTAGGCTCATCTCAGCCAAGGCTCCAAACAAGCTGCAGCGATACCAAATGATGATGTAATCACTGCAGACCACTGATTAGTCACAGAGAAATGGTCAGCGATGCGTCATCTTTTTGTCTTTTTATCACTCAACCCACATTTAAAACCAATGGCAGCCGGCAAAACTACGCCGTACACTACGCCTTAGAATTGAGGATTGGCAAGCGTTCCTTCTGTTGGCCCCCGTTCAAATGATTCTCCCCTTTTTACAACGGCTTAACAGACTATTTCCAGTACAGTACAGAAGCAGAACATCTGATTGGAGTGTGAAGTATTAAAGGGGAACGGGACAGGTGGAGTACTTGGTTGGGAAAATTGGTCAGGCACCCAACTGCCCAAAGCTGTTCAGAACGTGTGCGTTAGTTTCCAAATTTTCCCTGCTGCATTCCTCACGCACGACCCATCCGGTGTCCGGACTCCATTACTGCCATTGAGCCTATGGAAATTCCAGTCAAAGCTGGCACAGAAAACACCAGCTGTTTGAACTGATCCCTGGTGGGTGTGTGGGGTTAGGGACATGTTACCCTCTTCTTAGGGCCAGCAGCTGTGCGGTCTTACGAGCTCCAACGACTCGACGTTTCCTTTTTACATTCTCCGAGCTAATGGAGTGCTCAGCTGTTCAGCTCTTGTCCAGATCTACTTCCTGTGCAGTTGTGTGAGATGATTGGCCAGCATGAAAAGCCTTATCTACAAGTTGTTTGAGGGCCTACAAGACAAAACAAATGTGGTGGAGGAGCTATTAAAACTTGTTGTAGCCAATTATTATTCCATTTGGGTATGTTGGGGTTTTCTCACCTGTGGCCATTTATAATTTTGTGAATCACGTATATGCCAAAGTGGTGAAGAAGTTGTAGTAGAGGTTGTGTCTTGTATTCTTGCTCTGTCTGCTTGCTTAGATTATTTTAGAAGTGCATGCAACAGCAGTTATGTTAAGAAATTCTAACAGACATTTTTTTATATGAATTAAGTTTTTAACATATTCATCATGTTGAAGTGTGAGAGGCAGCCGCATCTTCTGCACATCATCCAGCTTTACTCTGAGCTGAAATGCTCCTGTGGTGTGCTGCTGCTTCTGTTTGGCCCTTTGCCTACAATCGTTAAACTGTTTAATAACTCTATTACTGAACAGGCTGAGGGGAGGTTCAAATCCCTCTGTGTATGTGGCTTCAAAACTCTTTTGATTACCAATGGAATTATGGTCGATAGCACATTGACAATAATATCAAAAATGGTCAAATGTCAAGCACTCTGCGTAGTAAAGTCACAGCAGAATGCTCTCTGTCAGTGCTATGTGGCAAGGGGGAGGTTATTGCAGCAAGCTTCCTATGAATATGGCCATTTAGAAAAGGCAGTATTAGAAAATGGTCAACATGGGCCCTACTGTAAATACCTTTTGTATTAACCCCAGAGATACTTGAACACATTGGTATAATGCAGGTTGTTAATCCTTTATGATATCTGTTATATTTACAGATATCTTAAAGACAAGGTATTCAAAAGGTCTGATGTGAATGTATTAATTGTGCTGTCAGATTTTAGGCAATCGTCAATTAACTCTACTCTTGAATTATCAATCACTGCATTATGTCATTATTGTAGAGTTAAAATACAGGGCCAAGATACAATGTGCATCCTACATTATCCCGGTTTGATTCTGTTTTTACCTTTTCATTTCCAGTGGAATCATTTTTCCTTCTGCCTAGCAACCATGTGACATGTTTGTGAAATGACAGCTATGAACATTGTATTCTTGTTAATGATATTAAAGTTGAGAAACAACACTTACCTCTCTTCTACTCTCTTTCAGCCACAGCAAGTCGTCCAGAAAAAGCTTGCTCAGGTAAGATACTCATTTATTTACCCTCACACACACCTGCACACACACTTTATTTCACTAAATGTCATTCTGTAAATCAAAACATTGCTTGTTTACTTTTAATTGACAAATGTTAGCTTAATTTAGGCTACATGCACAAATACTGGACACTGCTTGCTCATAGTTTTTCGGAGTTTGGGTAAATTGAGCTAGTGATTAAATGGCATGATTTGCTGTACAATACAATGTATGGCCTAACCATTAGAAGCAATTGGGGTTGAGCAATTGACCATGGACAGTTTGGAGGAGATGGGGGTCGGAGCTTCATCCCTGAAACTAATGGACAACTTCCTCTACCTCCTTAGCCACAGGCACCTCCTACAAATGGCCCAAACTATTGCAAAGAATGATCAAAAACATGAAAATGTCTCCTTGTTTGTCCGGGGTTAAGAGTATTCCACATTATGTACTGTTACATTGAGCTGATGGAACATGACTGTATCAAAGTTACATGCTTTGTTAACACATCCACCTTCCCTTAAACTCCTTCCTAGTGCTAATAACAACTCCAAGCTACATGCAAATTTGGTTTTGATGGTTTGTAGGTCTCATATTTTTCGTTATATTGTGTGTACTCGTTTTCCTATCAATGGAAGTGATGGAAAAATGGTTCTTGTCAAGTGCCTCAAAGGCTGACAACATCTGTATAGTTGCTGCAAAATTAACTCAACCTGTTGCTAAAGCTAACGTTTTTTGAGCTGGATGAGAACTATGGAAAAAGTCACATCCCTAAATATAGGAGTGGCATTTGCAAGAAAAAAGACCTGAGATTTTTTCTCTTGGAGAGAAAGTTAACTACACTTCCTCTGTGTCTGACTATTAATAGGTAGCAGTTAATTGGATGTTGCTGGTGAGAGCATGTACATCAGAGGGGGAATGAAAGCAGAATGGTAATAAGTGAGTGCAACATGACACAGGACCCCAACCCCCAGCATTCCCTCACACTCCAGGAATCCACCAGCCTCCCTCTGTTCACTGGTGCGGGCCACTTCTTGGTGTGAATGCATAACTCCGCTCTGATTTGTGGCTGTGTGGGAACAGGACTGAGGTAGTTGGGAGGCGCTGTGAGGCCCTGGGAGCTGCAAACCATAAAAATGTCATTTAGCTCTCCCACTTTGATAGGCTGCTTTATCTCAGCCTCACCACCACTTGCCTGTACAAAACCTCAAACCCCTTTCATTCCAGCGCTCGGGGTGGGGTGCATACACGACCCAACAGAAAGTTACAGCTTGCACATGGCATAGTTTCCCATTCAAGTTTCAGCTCCTGCTGCCAACCAGGCAGGCTATCTTTACATGTTCCTACGTCCTTTTTTGGTTAAAATAACACAGTGTTCGGAATAAGGCTAGTAAACAGTGTGAATGACATGGGTGGGCTCTTGAAGAATCTGTGCCAGCGTTGGCCCTATCTGCATCAACCAGTTGTAGAAACAAACTTTATTTACTTATTTCCTCTTCATGGGTTTGTTTAGTTGAAGTTGGCAAACCAGGGTGTAGTTGAAGGGTTAAAACCAGGATCTCCCTATAGTGGCTTACGTCTTAAGAACAACTCAATTAAATCTTTACAGCAGTTACCCCAAACCTTCAACACCATAAGGTTATGGCGTACTTAAAGACAGCTATGGCATGTGACAGTTATGGGGAACTCATCAATTGAGTCATTGGGAAGAGGGTTAAAGTCATGAACCAGGAATCAGTGGAAATCCAGAAAAACTGTTGACGCTCAATTTTAAAATGCATACACAGTCAATGGAAAGATTAAAAAAAGAGGCAAACAGATGCCGATTGGCTCTAGGCTTGACAAGTTCTGGAAAGTTGTATGAGTCTACTTCATTATTCTACAAAGACATGAGGAAATTCAAATAAGAGAAACACCTTAGGAGTACTGTAAGGTAAAGAGCGAACTGGAGACTCTACAAAGGCATTAGTTGGAAGTGATAGACAGAGCCAAGAAAGTGTTGCTAATTTTCCGTCAAATAGCAAGAGACTGCTTTCCCTTCTCTACCGATGAGTAGGTGTGTGGAGCTTTCAAAGTTAATGATATATGGTAAATACTTTTTCGTATGTACCATACAAACACTATGAATGCCTTTTTTAAAAAGGGTTGTCAGAAAGGGATATAAACAGCACTTTTGTTCAGGCATGGTCAGACGACTTGTCCCACCAAACCGTCAGAACGTCCCTTAAACCCAACCAAGCCTTGATCCTGAAGTGGATGTTTTTGTAAAATTAAATGCTTTAACGGACCAGTTTGGCAGTAAACACCATCACTAGGATGTTTAAATTACAGGCTACCCATAGTTATCTTTTCCTGTGTGTGAAATGGTGTAGGTGTCGGCAGGGGGGAATATAATTGCAACTTGTTTTTTTTCTCCCCCACCCGCGCTACCACCACCTTTTTTCCCCCTGTGCTCCCATTTGCCCTTGTTACACATGGTAGCATTTAGCGGCCCTTTAAAGACTGAAGTGTGTGAGCACTAATGAATGGAGGTGGTGTTGCACCGCCGCAGCCTGGGAAAGGAAGAGGGTTATAAATTGTGTCAGTTAGCCTCCCTGAATAAAATGAGACCATGTGGAAAATGAAATGCATTTCTTCTTAAGAGGGAGGAGGTGTTTCCTCTCCCCTCCCCAGTTGTGACAGTGGTCATCATGCACTTTAGAAAACTAAGCAGCACTTGTTCTGGGTTATTTAGGGTTAGGGAGCCATGGCTGCTGTACTGAGTCCATTTACTATTGCAGATGGCTGGTGTCCAATCATGCACATGGTCATTTCCTGCCAGATTAACCATTCACTTTGAGACTAAGATGAATTTAGCTACTTCATTAACCATATGAAGTGCCTGAACTGCTCTGGTTGTGGTCATTTTCCTCTTTTTTTGTATCTACCATGGGTGTTGCCTGGACGTAGGCATTAGGTTTTGGGTTGTCCCTCCTTCTGTCCGAGGTATTCTGCAGTATTTTAAGCTTGCCCTGAGGGAATTTCTTCACATTTTGCTCAAGCCTCCACTTGAATTGTTTTGATTTCTTTTATTAGTCAATTTATTGAACATGTCAGAATTTTCTTTTCTTTTTTTATAATAATAATTATAACAAAGAGGTAAAAAAGGTACAAACAAATTAAAATAAATACATTCTCAAATAGTCTCTGTCATGTTCAACAGGGGCAAGAAGAAGCTTAAAAAAACTTTTCTGGTCCTACCCCCTCTAGCGTACATTTTTCTTGAAAATGAAAGATTAGATCAGCGTCATGTTCGTCATGTTGTAAACACATTTTTTTCTTTTTACAAAACAACCAAAGAATTAATAACTTTTACAAGTGGGTTCACAGGTCCTGCTCATAACCATTACTGATTTGGTTTCTAAATAATAGTTTTAGTTTAGATAAACTTGTACAATATTTCAGCTCATCATTACTGTTATTCCTCAGGTCAACACCTTTTGTTGTGATGCACTGATCAATGGTAAAGGTCACTGTCACTTTTATTACATTACATTTAATTTAGCTGACGCTTTTATCCAAAGCGACTTACAGTGACCAATTACAGGGACATTCTCCCTGGAGTAACTGAGGGCTAAGTGCCTTACTCAAGGGCACACTAGTGGTGGTGTTCCAGGCGGGATTTGAACTCACGACCTTCCGATCTTCAGCCCACCTCACTATCCATTAGACCAACACTATCTCCCACTTCACATCTGTCCCTATCACATTCACCTATGTATTTGTAGGAAGGTTTGGAGCACTGTTATTAATGTGGTCGACCAATGATTGCAAAATCTTCTAGAATTAGTCTTTTACTTCCCTATAAATGAGAATAATTTGTGCAGCAGTTTCCGTATGTGCATAGGAAAAAGTTCAAATATACAGATCCAATTGCGTTGAGTTGTCTGGAATGATTTTGAGTTGTGTCTGTCTGAGGTGTAGAGGGTAAATTACATGGACTACCTTGTTTTTATTTACAGGAAGAAGAGGAAGAAGAAGAAGAAGAAGAAGAAGAAGAAGAAGAGGCTGGAGATTCCCCACAGGAGGACTAAGCTACCACACCATGAAATCTCTACCTCATTCAGCTGTCAGGTCTTTTAAAGGGAAAAGACTGCCTTTACCACTTGTTTTTGACCTTTTCCACATTATTTTACTTGTTTTAATTTCAGTTAGAGAATTTCCATCTTTGCTCAGCCATCAAACAGGCAGATATGTTCAGTTATATCTGCGTCTTTAGCTCCCTTGATACACATTGACATAGACCTTGAAAAAAGAAACAGAACAGATAACTGGCTGGACAGATGAAACGAAGCAAAACAATCTGCTTCATACATTCTGCTTGTTTAAAAGATAGAATCAAGAAAAAGACAGACATGTCATCACACTTACACTCCTCAATGAGAATACACTAAAACAGACAGATTCAATAGTAATAATAGAGTGATAGCATTAGGTGGTGCATCATAAGGCCACTGCATCTCTCAGACTGATACACACACTCTCTCATTGTTGACTGATTCTCCAGACGTTGATTGCAGAAAAAAGAGGCTGGTTTCATCATACAGACATTTAGAGCAACTTTCTGCTGTTCCAATATATCAGCATATATCATCCATACTAGTGTTAGACCACGCAACACAGGGAGACACAAAGCTCTGTGTAGGACCTATTGGTATTCATAAGTAATTGGGCACATCAAATCCCAAACCGCTCACTTGAAATATGAGCATTGGGTTGAAAACTAGAAGGAAACCTTTTTAATCCCCTCCCCTTATTTGGAAAAGCAAATATAAGAACTTCTACCCTGGCCCACACCGTTTTTACCGTTTTAAAGGTCCCCTATTATACTGTTTTTCATCACATATTATATGTCTCAGATATATACAAACATGTCTCTGAAGTGTTTGGCTTGAAATACCAAACAGATCATTGCAGCATGCCATAGACCCCTCTGTTTCAGCCCTGTTTCAAAAGTGCTGATTCTCTGTCTGTTACTTTAAATGAAAATAAGGAGCCCCTCCCCACGCCCCTCTGAGAGATATTTGGTTACACAGAACACAATGGTGCTCTAGGAGGAGATTCAGGTGATAAGGTGGTGGTGGTGGGGGGGGGGGGGTTACCTTGGTTGGTTATTGGCTAATGGTTACACAACCCAAAAAATCGTTATGACATCATAAAGTGGCTAAAATCTGATCAGCTCATATTCAGACAGATTTTTATATAAATGGATCAGGACAAAAAGAGAGAGAATCTTTTTTCCTGAAACTTTCAGAATCTCTTTACACACAGGGGACACATGTTTATGTATAAAAGACATGAACAAGTGGATTTTGCATAATAGGTGACCTTTAAGATTCTAAAGAAATTGGGCCAGTATAAGCATAAAAAAAAAACAGGACCTCTTTGGGTAGCCCATTTTACAGAATGTTCGATCAATTTTTATTAAGGTTATTGTCCAAATGAGAGTTGATAGTCCGGCGGTCCCTCCAGTATGGTGTCAGTGTTACTTAAAGACCAGAACTTGTATTCTACATGAGTTCTGCTTTGCTCTCCCTGTTGTTGGTGGACTGCCATGCCTCTTTTACTGCTCTAGAAACCATAGAACCTCTTCACATCCTCCACTACCAAACATTGCATCAGACTACTGTATACCATTTGTTCACATTTACATTTTCAGGCTTGTGTACATAGCTTCGTTAAGTTTGCGCAACATAGCTTTAAAACCTCAATTTAACCATTGATGTCACACTGCAAAAAAATCCACAGACTTGCAAAAACCTTAAACCCTTAAGAACAAAAACCACAAGAACAAAACACACATTACCTCAAGACACACTTGATACCTGGATTTAGTGGCAGCGTGACGTTGCATGTCACGCAATGTAACTCCAGGAAGCCTTATGTTCGAGGTAACCTGATGGTAACTGAAATGCAATATCTTATCATGATTTCAAACTACCTCTGACTCAGCACAACCAGCTAATGAACACACAAATAGATGCCTGGGAAGTTCAGATATTTGTGTTGGAACTTTATACTGTACATTAAAGCGAGGTCATCCCGGTTGGTTGTAGTCTTGTCATGGAGGAACAGGAAGATGTCTGCAACTGTTATGTCTGATTCAGTCAGGTGAAGACTACAACATCCATAAAGAAGCAAAAGTCAGATTTGACAGAGTACATTAAAGGAAAATTATTTTGACCCTCTTTCCTTTTGGGTATGACAGACCAAGGCAGTGCTTTTACAAGTTTACGAGGATATGAAGAATATTAAAACTCATCCACACAGGTGACACAACTTACCATATTCAACCTAAAGTGGTGGCGTTAAGCTTTAATCACATCATTTGAAGCACATTTTTAAAGCGAAAACCTGAAAACGTCCCTAGTTTAATTTTTTTAATGTCAATTTTACTGTTAAAAAAACACCAATCAAGCCAATAAGCAGTCAAAAGCTACACGAAAAAAGTATCACTTGGCTCTGACTGGCCTGACATTTTCTTCTTTTGAGATTTTTGGACAAAGCATTGATTCAGTGATCTGTCTTTTTATACTTAAAAAAACAAAACAAAAAAGCAGCTAACATATTACGTATTGTTATTTCTTATTTACCTTAATTTTAATTTGTATCTTAACATTGCAATGAAACATATTTAGCATTATCTGCAAACTGGGACTTCTTTTTGACAAACTGTTAACTTGAATTTATTTGGTTCCGATTTACACAACGGTTTATTGAGGATCGAGTGTTTGTACAACACTGCGTGATAAAACGACATGTTTTTTTGGCTTTGAATAGTTAGAGTTGTTTTTTCCTGAGTTATGTACTACCTACATACTGTATGTACAGTACCTCAAACAGACCGCTAAAAATGGACTATTCAATTGAAAAATACCTACCTCCAGTCTCTTTACTTTCTGTATGAGTTACATTGATGTATGATATGATCTATATCAGGACTGCAGAAGCTCCTTACTTAAAGTATCAGATCAAGCTTCAAATCTCAGTACATTTGGATTCTCACCTTCAAAGTGACTTCAGGTTTTGAAACAGATATGTTTGGATTTTGTATATTGTATTCATGAATATGTTTTCTTGTTTTTAATTAGTAGATATCAATATACTTGATTAGTTGTTTTGTGTACTTGACACAAATGTGATTTTCTTTTCTTGTGATATGGTTTAAACCAGATGTATATGGAATTGCTTTGTACTTAGTGATGGATTATACAATTTTCCCCTGTCATCATGGCAACCTTTGAAACGTTAAGATGTTTTTTTTAAACTGGACCTAAGGTAGAGCCTCAGAGGAGCTACATCGATCCTGTCAACTTGCCTTCATCAGCAACACATGTACGGGAAACGGCGACTGTCAAATGTTCTGACTGTCCTTTATTTCTGAAACCCTGAAAGTCTGAAAGGTGTCACATTAGACCAAAAGCCCATTCGTCCAACATCCTATTATCCCCCCAAAATGAAGCTGCCTTCACTAGATATGTGACAAAACTGCTTTGCGCACCGCTCCAAATTGTCGCCGAACACTGGGCTCACGGTTCAAGTTATTTAAACTTTGACCTTGTTTACCCCTGACCACGCAACCAATCAGGTGACAGCTGTACGAAGCGCCCAACTCTGCGCAAAGAACAGACCCCGAATCGTGTGAAGGCAGCTTCACCAGTAGGCCCATTTTTACGAAAAATTCTCCCTGCTACAAACTGAAGCAAATGGCTAATTATTATGCAGAATAGCATCATTGGACCCTCCCAATGTTTCTCTCCCTCCAATTGGCTATTGCTTGTTGCCTTTGTTGGTTGTGTTGCTTAGGTTTAGGCAAAAGGAGTGATATTGGTACTTTGAAACAATGGCCGTCTGTTCTCAGGATACAGGCTGTTGGACAAACTAGCGTTTGGTCCATTGGTACAGTTCTCAGGTTTCTTTTGGTTTTCAGAAAAAATCAGTCAGAACAATAGCATGGCACTTATGGAGCAGTGGTAAACTCACACTAACCAACAATCTGCACAGTGTTCTGGACCATAAAGTGGTCTTCAGACTTTCCCAATCTTTGTGCTAGGATTAATCTAGACTTAACACCCAAAAACAAACAGAGATTAATCATATCTCATTTTAGAAAGATTTTACAAGTATGTGATCGATGTGAAGAGTCTGGATGGACTACACCATCAAGTCAAGTCAGTAAAATATTGGTATTGCCTAAAATGACTTTTTTATCCAGGCACTGTGCAGGAAATAATATGTCTAGTAATCAAACAAATCTAAACAGTGAGGATCACAAGCTGCTGTATAAACTGTGATGCAGCTGATCAGCATCTTTATCGCATGTCTTTGAAACAGACAGCCTTCATCATTTAACACCACATCCATCAGCCAGAAAGACCCCTTTTAGACCTGGTATTAACATGTAATCTATCTGGATTACGAAAAATAAAATATGGATTCACACATAATAATACCAAGTGTAAATTGTGGGTCAAAAATGACACCACTGAGCTCCTCAAGATCCAAGGTACAAGCTTTTGAAATGTGTCATTTTCCTCCAGAGATCAGAGTAGAAACTGAAACACCTGCTGAAGCTCTCTGGAGGTGATGCTACCTCGCTGTTGGACAGATTGATTGTAGAAGCTGTTTACGAGCTTCCACCTCTGGGAGTCTTAATGAAGTTTCTCTTCATGACATCACGTTCTAGTACAATCGAATACACATTACTACCTCCATAATGGCCTACTTTTACCTCATTTTCAAACTTAAATACTGTTTAAAATTCAGGTGTCCGTGAGCATATGGAGAACATTTTAAAGTTTTATATATATATAGTTTATTTTTGTGGGGGATGAATTTTATAAGACTGTTTTCTCTGCCTCTCAGTCACCATTAGGTAAGACTGGACATGTAACCTTTGAAAAGGATTGTTCTTACATTATGCAATGTTTTGTAGTTAGCTGTGAGGGAAGAGGAAGAGATTTCTCAGCTCTTCCTCTTCCTTGCTCCTTCTGTATAATTTCAAAAACCTATACATTATCTAACTTTTATCGCTTCCTCTATCCACATATTATTACTGTCTTTCTTTTTCTGAGCAAATTGTGCGTGCTTGCTAAACAAAGTCTTTATAGATATTCACTGCCTTTTATCCAGCACAATAAAAAGTATGGCATCCATAACGTCGACTTGTGTGTGCATTTTTTCATTTATGGTCTTGTTAGATAAATGTGTTTTGCTGAAAAGGTGTGTGTTGTCTGGTAAATCACATGGCGTATTAAACCCTTCCTACTGAAGTCGAAAGCTTTACAAAAGTCACAAAAACACACGGTTTAAGTTAATTTACATAATGTCAAAAGCTCTGTGTGTGTGTGTGTGTGTGTGTGTGTGTGTGTGTGTGTGTGTGTGTGTGTGTGTGTGTGTGTGTGTGTGTGTGTGTGTGTGTGTGTGTGTGTGTGTGTGTGTGTGTGTGTGTGTGTGTGTGTGTGTGTGTGTGTGTGTGTGTGTGTGTGTGTGTGTGTGTGTGTGTGTGTGTGTGTGTGTGTGTGTGTGTGTGTGTGTGTGTGTGTGTGTGTGTGTGTGTGTGTGTGTGTGTGTGTGTGTGTGTGTGTGGCGGGAAAGTACAGTATGTCTCCGTACCAACCGTTAATAGAAAGGAACAATAGAGGGCTGCCTGTTGCTTTGTCACATTGTCTTCATTGAATCTCAGGACATCACAGGTTTTGGTACAATTACATCGTTTTTTTAAAAAGATTTGGGCCCCCATTGCCACACTGCATCCCACCCCCATCCTTTAAGGCCCACCCTTCCTTTCTCTAACATCTCTCTCTTTCCCCTCTTGGAGTATGTGACCACCTTGGAGCCCCAGACCTTTAACCCTAATGGGATTTCT